AGCGGCGGAGTGGGACGCTTGGCTCGAGCAAAACCGAGCAAGTCCCTATCTTCAGGTCTTCTACAGAATAGGGTTACTGTGCTTGAGTGCAATACTCTGAATGACCACTAGATGGCACCAACGAGATACCAAAGGGATACTCTTTGCTTCCCATCTAGTAGTTGTGCTGATTTTTGCAGGCCATGTATGGTAGCTCTGGTAGAGCTTGGATTTTAATCCTATTCCAACAGTCGTCTACTTTAGGTCATCTGTGAAGAGGCATACATGGAAGCAAGGAAACCTGCATTCTCATCATGAATTTTCCAAACGATTAACATTTCGCAAATTGTATTATTAGTAGTAATATTGTTGGGAAGTTTTCTATTGAAAGTTACCTAGTAACTTATGATTTGGTGATACAACACAGAAGATCTACAAAAGTTTAGAATAATTTGAATGGAATTACCCTGACTTCTATAGACTTTTCTGGCCTAGGCTGAGTGTGCTTGAGTGAATCATAACATTTCAATCCATGACAATTTATTTTATATCCTAGAGTTCCATTTTTTAAAAAATCGCTGAAGCTGATTCACCAGCCATGATTTTACTTTGTTAGAAATTGCTATTTTAACAGCTTTCCTGAAGGTTAATATTATATTATATGTGGATATTATAAGTAATGCTGCCTTCAAATGTAGCTTGGACTCTTCTGTTAGGTTGGAATTGCTGTGAAATTGCTAATTGGAGATGGACGACACCAGTACTTTATACTGCTACTTCAAGGCATTGTTTTTTACCATCACAGCCTTTCTTGGCTTGAGACCAGAAACTTCCTTTCCCCACATGCGATCCAGACTTCAGACATCTTTTACCAAGCGATCTTGCTAAATTATATATGGTGGGAAACCATACGCATCTCACAGAAACCATGTTGATGTCCTGTGTACCCTGCACCATTATGCACATGCAGTGTGAATAACTCAGGCAAATTATAGTTTATGTCATTTGTGTGACGACATATGTGATGTTACAAGTACCAACCGATCCTGTCTTTAGATGTCCCCATGGGGAACTATAGCAGGTGATGGCAGGGGGGACAACCAAGGCATGATTTGAACAGGGTACCCCTTCCTCTAAGAGATCCAACTGGTACTTGTAATTTTAAAACTTTCCCTTTTTATCATTTCTGGTTTTAAGCTGTTTTTACTCTCTTACTTTATATATTTGTCCTACCTGTATTGTATATTTTTATTGTTTGATTTCTTACAGTAAGTTGCCCTGAGAACATTTCTGAGGGGCAGCTTATAAATATCTTAAATATTACTATTTCCTTTTTATTCCCTTTCGGTTGAGTGCCATGCATTTAAATAGGGTTTAGCTTTCTTTTTAATCAGATGTGAAGTGCTTCGCAAGATAATAACTGAAAAACAGGATAAAAATATAGCAACCAACAAATAAATTAGGTGCAAACTTCAGTTGATCTTATTATAGCAGTTATAATTCCTGGGAAGAGCAATCACCTTTCTCTTACTTCAGCTTTGGAAACTATGATCAATTTTTGATTTATGTTGTGAAACTTATCTAAGTAAGTTTCCTTATTCAGCTATAAATAAAAGCTTCATCAGGATTTATCTGTTTATCACTTCTGATGTGCTATCAGGATATTTAGTTCATTTTTTACTGCCACATCGAAACTGTATGAATCAACATCAGCATCACTGCCATCAGTGCCATCACCACCACCATCATGAAGAGAACAGAAGGATTTGCCCCTGAATTTGGACATTGTGATAGACAAACCTGGCTCTGTTTATGAAATGGACAAGTTAACCTACAGAGGAATTAAATGAAAATGTCCATCTGCTTCCTTCAATTTCCAAGTAGAGCAACACAGGAGGGCAATTCCAGCCACTGACAAATACTTACCTCCAACTTCGTCTCGAGGTCCTTGATCTGTTGTTGGCTGTGGGTATGTTCTGTCTGGAGTTTTTCAATGGCCTGGCTATTCCCCTCTTTTGAGATGAGCTGTTTGGGAAAAAGAAACATTGTTTGCCAGGGTGAAAGAAAGACTGATAAAAAGGAAGTATTTGGCCCTTCTTAACCACTTGGTAGCAGGGATGTACACAGGGGATGGGCAAAAGGTTAAGATGCTGGCCACATCAAAGAATTTCAAGTTTACCATTGTGGCCACCATCTTGATATTTTTATTATTATTATTATTATTATTATTATTATTATTATTATTATTATTATACCCTGTGACACCCCTGCTTGGTAAATAAATCCACAGCATGGTACTATCTGGACATGTTGCTGTAATGTAGAATGACTTGTCTCTTACCGGCTGCATTTCCTAACAGCTAGAAGGAAATCTGCATAAACAGGAAGAGAGGCAGCTTAGCAGAACCCAAATATCCACAAAACAACACCCTCCCCCCAAGACAGATATGCCTTACAGTCAAGTAAGCTACGATATTGAGAATTACTTGCTATGAAAGAAGAATATTGTCCATTTGGAATATATATTAGCTTCGATGAACTTTCAATCCACTAAATGGAATCAGCTGATCAACTATTTATGGCAGTTCTACCAAGGGTATAATGATCACCCAGTTTTTCTGCCCATGTGGGTTTACAGAAGCAAAGGAGGTGTTTGGTGAACTCAGTATGTGTGATGGAATGGACTTAGGAAGGCCAGGCTCAGGGAGATAAACATGTTCTTAGCCCCCAACAGGAGCGTGGGAAGTTCAAGAAGATGAGGCTGGCACCTCCCT